CAAAGTGGTCGGAATGAAATAAAAACAGTAGGGGTAGGATCGGAATTACCAGAAGACCCAACTTTTCTGAAGGAACTTTTTCAAAAAATGGCCGAAAGTCAACTTTTTGAAATCACTATTCACGCCGGAAAAATAAAAAAGTGGTCGGAATTTGGTGTAACCTGGATGGATAGGCTCGGAATTGCAAGGGAAACAATCTGTCCTGAAGAGTCGTCGCCAAAAAATGGCCGGAAGGTGGCCCACGCAACGTTGGAACTTCGCCGGAAAATTTTCTTTGGACAGCTACAGTACCGCCGGAGATTTTCACTGGGATTTGGTCGCCGGACAGTGACTACTCTTGTGGTAGTGTTGGATTTTGTGCACAACACTGACCGAGACAAAGCAGACGCAAAACAACTTTGAAAGTCGCCGGAAAAAAAGGGTTCCGGTGACTGATTTTACTTCCCGGAATCGCTGGAATTTATGCACAGCGATAAATCTCTCACGATAGCTCTGATACCATGTGAGAAGGTACGGGAGAAAATATGATATATTGATATACTGTATGTGATGCAATACAAGAGGTGCTATTTATAGCTACTCTATACAAAGGGGATACTACTCCTATTCCAATGTGGGACAATTACATAGCTATCTCTAACAATAACGATTTCGTCAACATATGCCACCAGATAAATACATAGATTAGGAGTAGAATGCCGATAAAACAAAGTGATCAGCGATAGGTCTCTTACGCTTGCTCTGAGACCATGTGAGAGTCTAAGACATGGGAAGAAAGAATTTCTTGTATACATTTGTGTCTTTTATTAGCCTTATTTATATAGGGTGTTCAAATAGTACTAAATCCTTCCCTACCAATGTGGGACACTATGACATACTAACTCTCTAACAACTTGATAACCGACTCAAGCTTCAGTAAAAGAAAAAACCTGCACTACAAGCTCATCTAAACAGCAATCTATTCTAACCAGCACCAGTGGACAACACCATTACAACTAAGGATACCAATTCAATGTCTTCAGCTGTGCCAGCAACTTTCAAAATGCAACCCCCCCCCCCCCCCCCCGAGCATGTATATCTTGCACTATCATCCTGATGAGGATGTCGGCATTTCTCCTTTTGTCTTGGAAGATTGTGAGATTTCTTTCTTGCCATATAGCAGGCACAGGCAGCTAGAGCAATTCTGTATATTTCGGCACTCCCATTCTTCCCTTTTGCATATGTCTCTGCCCAACTTTGCTCTATTGACCATTCATTCGGCTGCCTAGATATTCCCTTGCCATATCCGTAGCCTGCTCCATACTTCTTCGGAATATTCACACAAAGAATAAGTGTTCTCTTGTTTCATCCTCAGCTTCACAGAGGGCATAGCACATTAGTAGCAATAATATTATTATTGTTATTAATAATAATAATAATAATATTTTTCAAGTTGTCCGAAATTCTGAACTCATTGTATTGTTGAATAATTGTCCTTCTCAGAATTCACATTTGTGAAGGAGCTCACTCTTGATGTACAAAATGTCATTGCCCCTCCTAAACCAAAAACCCCATTGGTCCGGGAGAAAGCATCTTCTTTGAATGACCATGATACTGGAAAATCATCTGCCGATGCTGGCACTGATGCAAAGGCAGAGAAGTTACCAAGCCCAGTAAAAGCTAGAGAGAGTGATGCGGAGACTGCCCATTCAGCAAGAAGTCCAGCTGATAGTCCAACCAGGAGTAGTGCAGTTGAGAGCCCGTCAAAAGAATTTGAAGAATCACTGAATAGGAGGGACAGTACTTTTGATGGTTCACCCCATGCTGCCCAAAGGTAATGTGTTGTTTTTGTTCTTCTCTTTTGGTGATTTGATCTCTCATGGTGTTATATTCTCCAAATAATGTGCCACCTATTCTATTATTCAATCATATTCTTTGATGGATTCAGCTTCTCTAAACTGTTAGCTTTTCTTAGAAATCTGAACTTCTGAATAATTTACTAGTGCAGTGAACGCTGGGGGACTGAGTCTGTGTTCTCTGGGGACAAAAAATTTGATGAATCTGGTTGGGGTGCATTTGATACAGGCCGTGATGCAGATGCTGCGTGGGACTTCAATTCTGCTTCTAAGGTAAGTGGATACATCTATTTCATTTTTGTTATAAGAAAAAAAAAAAAGAAAAAGGTAAATGGATACATCAGATGTTCGTTCTTTCACTTTTTCAATTACTAGGTTATAGGAAAAGCATCTTCCGGGGCACCAACATTTCTTCGGCCTTAGCATCCTTTGCATGCCTTTTTGTTTTGTCACTGCATGTCTACTGCATTTTGGTCTAGACAATTTTCGGCTTATCTGTGGTGCTTGAAATATTTCATCTGTCATTGGCTTAGTTGAAGGGCCTATTATATTGCTAATTTTCTACGGTATTGCAGGATTCTCTTTTTGATGATGATGACTGGGGCCTAAAGCCTATAAAAACGGGCTCCACAAATTCCAGTATCACACTCCCGAAGCAAACCCCATTTTTTGATTCTGTTCCTAGCACCCCTAGTTACAATAGTGGGATCAGTTACTCAGAGAACCAGTTCCCAAAGCGAAGCCTATTCTTTGATTCTGTTCCAAGCACCCCAACTTACAACCCTGGAGTCCCACAGGCAGACAACTTGTTCTCTAGGCAAAGTCCTTTCTTTGATTCTGTTCCTAGCACACCAGCCTATAATGCAGGTGGCTCCCCACTTGCGGATAACACGTTCCAGAAAAAGAGTCCATTTGCCTTCGCTGACTCGGTTCCAAGCACACCTATGTTTAGTTCTACGCCTCGAAGATCTAGTGATATGTCTGAGGAGCCCTTGAGCAGCTTTTCCAGATATGATTCCTTCAACACGCACGATGGTGGCCCCTTTGCTAGTCGTGAGTTTTCAAGATTTGATTCGATGCGCAGCACTACAGACTCTGAGTATGATAATGGTTCGTCCCAGCAGCGTGGCTCCTTCGCTAGGTTTGATTCATTTCGCAGCACGGCAGATTCTGATTATAATTTTGGGCTCTTTCCCCCTCAAAAGTCACTATCAAGGTTTGATTCTATCGGCAGCACCCGTGACACAGATTATGGTCATGGTTTCTCATCCTTTGATGATGCAGATCCATTTGGGTCCCATCATGAACCATTTAAGACATCAGTGGGGAGTCAGACACCAAAGAGAGATTCTGATAGTTGGAAAGCATTTTAATGTGGTAATGGATTTCCTTGCTCGCATATGGTCTCGTTTCCCCCCTCTATTTAAAGCTGTCTTTGGTCTGTTCTTTTGGTTGTAGGGATAGTGAATTGGTTGTGATTAGCTAGTCTTTCGTTGTGGCATGAGAGAGTGTTACGAAGAGTTGTATTATCTAATATTTTCTCATTAGCTGGGTTTTTCTTTCATTTTTCTTTGGGGTGGGGGAGGGGGTGTGTATTTTGACCTTTTCCTTCTCTCCTATTGTTGTTTAAAGGTGAGCTGAGCTTTTGTTGCATTCACCCATATTCAATGTATAAAACATGTAATAATGTTCTTTTCTTTTCAGTCAGTTCCTAGTTTAGAGTTATTTAGGTTCGAGAGTGATTTGTATCCACTTGATTGTCAGTTATTATGATAAAGTTGAGGATTTGCGGTAGGATCAAATAAATCATAGGTAGTTTCGCTCTAATTTAGTATTCAAAACATTCATCATGGTTTCATCATGCCTGTGGTGATGATCTATCACCACCTTTCTCTTTAATTCGAGCTTGGAACTGGCTACACTTAATTAAACTAAGACAGGAAACTGCAACCCTCTTATAGTCTCTTTAATCAGTCAAATTTGGTTCGACAGGCAAGTAAAACCGAAGAGATTGGTTGAAAAAAGAAAAAGGCAGAAACATTTTCGATGAATGCGTTAAATTCAAAGGGAAAATAGAAAATTATTAGTCTTTGAAATTAACTTCTGCCTATCATTGCAAGTCATATAAAACTAAATGAATCACATTGTATCATCTTCCGCTATTATTTGAGAGAACAAAAGAGGCACAATACTGTGACTCACTCCATGGCATAAACAGTAAGACATATTAATGACCGTTTGTTGAAGAAAATTTACTACAAAAAGGTAGGAACAAAAAGTAAAACTTATCCTCAAAGAGAATCCATAATCTAGATGTGATCTTATTATATGTACACATCAACAGAACCCGCCCTAGATCCACCTCTTCTAGGGAGTAATTTGAACTCAACCTAAACCAGAGAGTACATGATTATATATATATAAATATATAAAATGATTCAATTAAATTGTAATAGGAAGCAAGTAGCCAACTTTATGCTTTGACTCCAAAGATCTCCAGCATGGAAGAATAAGTTCCATAGATAGCCAAAACTGCACCCATTAAAACAAGTGCAGAATCCAAAGCCAAACCAAGCCATCCTAGTTCTTTCTTGAATACAATTAAGTGAAACAAAGCAGGTAGCACAAACCCCAAAACAATGCACACACTGCTCCCAACTAGTGACAAGAAATCAGCAAAATTTGGCACCATTAATGCCACTAAAGTGACTACCAAAACCACAATCCATCTCAACCAAAAGCAGTATCTCCCTTCACAAAATCTCCTTTCCATCACTTCATAAACAGGATTCATCATTAATGGGAAAGTAAAGAAAAGGTTTATGCAAAGTCCAATTTGCACTAATGTGCTAAGCAATCCTCTCCCAAGATTGGTTGTGATTATATCTTTGGTCTCTTCCCCAAAGGCAAAGTACCCCAATACTCCAAAAGAACCATACATCAAAGAAATGAAAGCCATTGACAAACCCAAGATTTTCCCAAATTTTTCCTTGTCTTTCATCTCTGCTTCTAAAGGTAAGACCATCCCAACACCTTCAAAAGCATAAACAGATACACCAAGACCATAGAAGAAAACACTGAACCCACCAAATGTTTCAAGAACAGGTCTATTCTTTAGAAAAATCAACACATCCTCAGCCATAACTACCCCCATAGCACCTAAATCAACAACATCAGCAAATATACTCAAAGGGGCTAAGTGAGTGAGTGTAGGGATTGAATTCAACCCCAACTGAAATGGGAAACAACTCCAAATATACACTTTTTTAGGTGACAACCCCAAGATTTTAGGACTTGGATTTGTAACAGAATAATTGAATAAGTGTGCTAATGTATTGGCTATGAAAATCAAGTAACTTATACAAAAACCAGCTTGAGACATAACAATCATAGCATCTACTGTACATCTACCTACAGATCCACACACAGCATATCCCAAATCACCAAAAGATGAAATCTTGGCAACTTTGAAATGGGATTCTAGCTTTCTCCTTGAATAAACAAGAAGCATCATACAATAGCAAGTAAGAGTTGCTACTGATAAAAGCATGAGAGTACCCATTACCCATCCTGTTTTCTTGAAACTATAAGGAAGACCAAGAACTCCAGCTCCTACTACTGCTATGAAAACATTAGCAAAAGTTTTGGAAGGTGAAGAAAGATGTTGGGTGTTGGCTAAAAGTGGTGTATCTTCTCTTGGGATTTGCAGAATATGGGATGATGAACTTGCTTTGTCTTTCTCAAACCCCATAGTTCACAGTTCAAATCAAGAATCCAAATTAGTGACCAAAAAACCAGTAAAGATTACAACTTTATTGATTTAGATTACTCAAACTGTGAAGAAATTGTAGTTATTACAGATCAAAGAGAGAAACTTTAAGTTTATTTCAGTTATTACAGATGAAAGAAAGATAATTGAAGTTTGTTTCAATGTTTCAAAGTGCCAAGTTCTGGGGTTCAGAGGGAGTTTTGAGGAGGAGAAAATGGCGGTGGAAGCTGCATAGATGTACACTTTTTCGTCAAGCGAGAGAAAAAATCAAGAGACCATTTAAAGAAAACCTTTGAAAGTGACAATGATATTTTATGGAGCTAAGAAATCTGTGCACGGCTTTTATTTTTTTATTTTTTTTGTGTGGTCAAAATAAGTTTTGGTTTCTGGTGAAAAAGGACAGATGGTCGGTCATATGAAGTTGTTTCAACTTTCAATCATTATTCATTAACAAATATTTTACATAATTTTAAAATATTGAAAAAGACCATTGTTTAACAAGTTTCCTTTGATGAATATACAAACCTAAAAGGCTATAAAGTGACGGGCAAGATCCACGTAGTATGAGCATCAATACACAAATACTATTGCAGATTGCAGAAACAAACAAGTGTGACCTAATTCCTATCACAATTTTCTTCCACCTAGTACATAACAAAAATCTCAACTTGTCTAAAAGTTAGTTCACACATTAGATACGCGAAAATTATGATGCAAGCATTGTTTATAGGGGATATAATAATGAAATGATTGTTATGAGTTGGTTAATACTGAGGAGATTGTCATTTTCATGGGATGATTAAAATTCTCCTTGAGGAGATTGTCATTTTATAATATATATATATATATATATA